ACTAAAACGACAACACGTTGGTAAATAATCCATGAAATAGTTTGTCTGAACACATTCCAGTTCCTCTCATTGTCACCTTAAAGCTGTGAAAATTTGGTGTTAATCCGACGACAATAAGTATACGTTATTTTTTGTTAAAGACCTTGTATTTTGAAAAAAATAAACTCTTAGAAAACGTCCGTGAAGTCACAGCAAAGATTTTCAAGCTTGTTTATCGGCACAATCGATTTGTTTTTTCTTCAAGGTCTGTTTTAACATGTGTAGGAGCATCCAAATGTGTAAGGCTATTGGAAACCAAAAACATAAAGGAATGGGATAGCTATAATTCGATAAAATCGGCAGATGAGAACACCAAAATCAATGATTTTTTTCAGTGGCTGTGTGACCTTGTGTCTGACACATTCATATGCAAATGACTAATCTGTGAAACAAACAGGGGCAGAGACAAACCACTCAAGTGTTTGTAAACACTCATTGTGTGTCAGAAAGCTACTGATAACACATCCTAACATTGCTTTGTCTTGAGTTTATCTTTGAAACTTTGAAACTCATAGGCACACAGATTAAACCTGTGTTGTTGACTTGGGAAAACACTACTGAGGCTGCCTTGCTTCCCTTCAGAAAATCAACATTCTAACAAACTTACATGACATTCTATGTTAAGTTGACTTTATCATATGAAAGTTTATAGTGCATTTCATCTATTAATAAATAAATGTGAAAATCGTAATTGTCAACACAAATAATAGTCTCGCTACCTTAATACCACTTCAAATCGATATTACAAATTATTAACACCATGTAAACTTCTTCCCTCTGGATTTAATCTACTCATTAATGTGTTTGTTATTATTTTAGCAATTGTGTTTTGAATGCATTGAGGGAAATGCTGTCAAATTCATTGTGATCTTAATATTTGTTATAGAAGTGCCATATCTATATATCCTGTAAATCCACACATGTCTTTTTGTCTTTATGTGGTTTAAATCACTACAGTTGTATTTATTCACATACATACTGTGATTGCTACTGTTTTTTGTAACTTTCAAACAGTCTCGATCATTGTCTTTATAATTAGTTCATCACACAAGACTGAGTGTTATTTACAAGATGCTTACCATACCTTAGTTGTCCGAGTATAAACTCCTCCGGGCTTATAAACGTATAAAAGTTAAAACTTCTTTCGAGCGACCCTGCGTTTCACGTGAATATTGGTCTGTACGTTTTGGAGTAACGAAAGTATATTCTAAACAAATGCATTGCATAGCAGCAAATGATCACGGTTGCGCAATCTGGTCATGCTGCGTTTCACAATTGTTGATTATTACTCAGTAGTGATTATGATAACTTGAATTGTTATGAAATGCAAATACAATTCAACTTAGTTTCATCGTAAGCAAATTTCAACTCGCATATAAACGCTTGATGCTGTCGGGTATCCGCCATGTTCTTTCTCTTGCAGAATTGACCCAAAAGGTCAAATCGCTAATTAACCAATCAAAATGCTGGATGATACCAACATGTTGAAATTACCATAGCTCATTTAAATATGTTAATGTTATTGAACGCAATGCGGAAGAGATTTGCCGATGTTGTAGTACGATCTTTTGGCTTGGATTTTGATGGGAAACAGCATGATTTTTTTTCAAATAAAAAATAGTTGTTTTCAAAAGATAAACTAAGCATTAGAAGAATAATTTAACATTGTTTACAGTGATAACAGCTCATTGTCGAAACGATCAAAGCTTACCCGTTCATGCTAGTCACAATAAACACGCTCTTGAATAAAAACTTAAATAGACCATTTTAGGCGTCAGGAATGTCCCAAAAATGACGCCAAAATAAAAAAAACAACTTTAAAAACTGCCGAAAAATCGCCCTTGGCAATTTCTTGGTCCCATTTTATATTTTTAAAAACCCAAACTGCCGTTTAAC